ATACCAACGGCTGGTAAAGAGTCCCAAGGTTGCCTTCTACGTTTTCACAAAATTACTTACCTATGAGCATAAACCAGCCATTTTGAGCAATTTGAGTCAATATATGATAATTCAATGAAAAGCTTTCACTCAGAACTGGAACGACTTTCTAAGCGGACATACGTCAATCCTCTCGTCGCAAGGGAACTTGCGGAAGGCCTCGGCGGTAGCTGATCGCACAAAAGTATTCGGATGGCGGAGACATTCATCAAACACGGGGTAAACTTCAGTTAAATTGCTCACTCGTCCGAGATTTCCAATCGCACGCAGGGTAATTATAACCTAGAGGGTAAGAAAAAGGATCCCAATGGGTAATTTTGTTTGAAGCAGCAGCGAAAGGAATAAATCTGATTATCAATACATTCCATTTATGTGCAAATGATAATAGCTCACAAGTTGTTTAGAGATGGTTAAACGATGTTTTATGTAGCCTAAAACATCAGATTTTACAATACATCGTAATAACTGGTGCTTGAAATAGCCTTTACAGCAACAGCCTAATTGAGGAAGAAGAAGAAGAAGAAGAAGAAGAAGAAGAAGAAGAAACATCAGGCTCTTGAATTTTTATAAAAGAAAGATCGTATTTGCACTCCATACCTTTTAAAGCGCGTTCAAGAAACACTTTTTGTGAAAATAATTCAATGAAGTAACAGTCCGACCACCGATCTCGATGATGTCCTCCGCGAACTTCAACCAGCTGAAGGCAAACACAGGCACTTGTGCTGGATTAAAGTGAGTGTAGACTCGCGCAAAATCTGGCCTGAGATGGGGGAGGGCACAGATGGTTAGCGCAGCCGAGGCCGCGTCTATGCGTGCCATCACGCTCAAACACGGACACACAGACGGTAGTAATCTTCGCATTTGTACGCACACACAAACACACAAAGGGCTGCTGCCGCCAGCCTACCGCTCTGCATCCTTCCAGGACTGCGTAAGCAGTATATACACACAAACACACAGGCGAGAATGGCCGCTCCACCAATACGCGCCACCAAAACCACTCGGCACGCATCCCACTTACATGGGATTGCAAAAAAGACCCCAATTAAGAAGGAGCCATTGCAGACTGACTCTCAGGCCGCCAAGCAGCCACTACACACTACGAGACACACTGACTGCGCGGTCAAAATTATCTCAT